TTTTCGACATTGCAACTTCCAAAAGTGGTCCGACAATGGTGTGTTTTGTACATTTTGACTTCGAAATGTGCTTCGCGCCACAACGGCGTGCACTTTTTCGACATCTCAACTTCCAAAAGTGGTCCAAGAATGGTGTGTTTTGTTCATTTTGACTTGGAAATGTGCTTCGCGCCACAACGGCGTGCACTTTTTCGACATCTCAACTTCCAAAAGCGGTCCGAAGCTGAGGTGTTTTGTACATTTTGACTTGGAAATGTGCTTCGCGCCACAACGGCGTGCACTTTTTCGACATCTCAACTTCCAAAAGTGGTCCGAACCCCTGGTGTTTTGTACATTTTGACTTGGAAATGTGCTTCGCGCCACAACGGCGTGCAATTTTTCATCGCTCCCGTGGCCAGCTGGCTCCGCACCCGCCGCTTTAGCGAGCCTACTTTTCGACCCTCCGGAGCCACAAATCATTGGAAAAACACAGTGTTTCGCGACTTTCCTACCTTTTCGCGCATCTGTATCTTCTGTCTTCTTACTCTTTCTCTTCTGATCTTCTCTCTTCTAATCTTCCTCTTCTCTCTGCCTCTACCCTGCTCTGCTTTTCATCTCTCCATATTGTCGGAAGTTTGACTTCTAAACTTCCTTCGATTATTTTATATATATATTATGTACACAGAGGGGTCAATTAATATACCAGAGAAACACTGCCTTTCACGCTTTCCGTGCTTGGTCGTGTCATACAAACAGTCACTCTGCTCAAGTGTGTTGCAACATATATGTATGACTCGCTCCTTGCGCACTGCGCTATACTGTTTCATTTCTTTCGCACCATCTCACTCTGTGCATTGTTTGGCCTTGTTGCTTTCTCTGCTCCCCTTTCCCACACTTAACATTGCTCTTGCATTTGCTTTTGCATCAAGGCGCTGGACCGATTTGTGAAGTGGACATTTATTTTATTTTATTTTTATTGCCGGAGTTCAAAATTTTGGTTCAGTATTTCTGAGCACTAGGGTTGGACAACTGAGATGCGCATGTTTTTGCTGTACTATTTATGGCCCCGGATGAGAATATATTATAAAATTATCATTATATAGTTTGTTCAACATTATGGTTCCTCGAAACTGCCCTTTTGCTGCGCTTTCGCGAACCTTTCGCGCCCTTTCGCGCCCCAGCAGAATCGGGATAGGGAAGTGATATCATGTTTTTGTGTGGATCTGTCGTACTAAAGGTTTATATGGGGATCGTATTGGAAACATCACGTATATTTCCAACGCGGAAGTGGAAGCATTTGACAAAGTCGTTTTTCAGATTGCCCCACAACGGAAACACAAGGTGAAACAACTTTGAAGGGTTTTCGAAGCGGCAACATGGCAAGACAAACTAGACCATTTTGGGCCAGGGTGGGATCCTGGCAGGCTCGCCTTTCGCCAACCTTTCGCGAACCTTCCGGAACCTTTCGCGGATTTCTCGCCTACAAAAATGTTTTTTGAAACTTCTGTTTCATGAGAGGGTGATTTGCATGATTTGCTCGGCGAGTAGTGCTTCAGTTCCAATACTAAAACAGGCCAAGACCCATTCCTATCTGAGACAAACTCTGAAAAGTATTGCTCAATGGTTGTCACAGCTCATACAATATGGGATTGGACCATTCGCGAAACCTTTCGCCGCGCTTTCGCGGCCTTTTGCGGCTGAGGTAAACACACGTCCATATCTGCAAATGTCACGCAGATAACAGAAGTCTTGCATGAGTTTTAGAACTGATATAGAGATATGATTTCCAAAATTAATCAAAGTTGGCATTTCGGAAAATTTTGACTGCCCTCCCTACATGTTGCACGCTGCATCTTCTGCTGTGCGTTGTGACTGCACAGGCCTTCACAAGAGACACTCGGCGGATCGCTGCGTCATAGGCGTGCTCTCTGTCTGTGCTGCATGGAAGTCTACCAAGGAGAGAGATTCTGCCACACGGAATCGGCACTGGAAGTCTCAAAAAATCGGAACCTCGTTTCCTCCTGACGCAGGCGAAACGGCGAGTTTACGTGCAGGGGCCGCACTTTGCCGCACGTTCAAAACGTATACAGGCGGTTGGTGTACGAGGTCGTCCAGAATGCACTTTAGGAAATGAAAAGTTTGCACTCATCGGGCATTGAAATGAAAAAACCCGTTTCGACACTTTCGCGCGCAGGACTTCGGATTGGCCGAATGTCAGGACTCGTAAAGAGTGTCTGCCAGACTTTTTCACGGTGACCTCACCGAGGTCCAGAATTTGAGCTCGGCACAGTGGGTGACGAGGCGCCAGCAGTCTCCTAACAAAACTGTTGGACACAAAATAGCACGGTAGACCAATGCTCCAATATGCTCCAACTGAGCTGGAAGAAACTGGAATGAACTACTCCTACTGCGTACTACATATCCGCCGACCCCGCTTGCAGCAGGGGGAGCGCGTCAGAGAAGACATTACCAGCAGCCAGGGGCAAGAGAGGAAGACGAAAGCAAGGCGACAGACAGCGGCAAGGTGCAAGAGCAAGCGACAAGGAAGAAAAACCGAAAGTGTGCCGGTACAAGCAGCCAGGAGCAAGAAAGGAAGACGCAAGCAAGGCGACGGCCAGCAGCAAGTTGCAAGAGCATGCAACAAGGAAGAAAACACCCGGTGCAAGAGCACGGAGACAAGAGCGTAGTTTCGCTGTGGCGAAGCCAGCGCTTCGGAGGCTCGCGGGCTGCAATGTAGAAGGCCTGGTCCGTCCCTCCGTAGCACGGTGTTTCGCTGTGGCGAAGCCAGTGCTTTGGAGGCTCGAGGGCTGCAATTTAGAGCTAGCTAGACCCATATCCGCCGACCCCTGCCGACAGCAAGGGGGAGCGCGTCAGAGAAGAGGTGTTTTAGCCCTGCGACAACGTCCTTGGGCCCGAGCTCCGCAGGACAAAAGCCAGCTGACCCGACCTGTGCCGGACGAAAGCCAGCTGCAAGAGGACACGACGAAGGTGGCAGTTGGCAGTGCAAAAGGGCAGGCAAAGTCAACGTTTTTAGCTAGTTTCGAGGCAAAGTCAAGGTTTGGAGCTGCAGAAGCGCAGGCACGGTCAAGGTTTGGAGCTAGTTTCTAGGCAGTTCAGAAAGCAACGTTTGGCAGTATGGGCTGCGGGCCGCGGGCCCGATCCGCCCTTCACTGCCATGGTGTTTTAGCCCTGCGGGGGGGTCCTGTGACCGGAGCTGTGCAGGACGCAAGCCAGCTGCAAGAGGACGCAGGCAAGTTCGGAGCTGGCAGCGCAGGAAGGCACGCAAATGGAAGGTTTGAAGCAAGTGTCTAGGCAGTTCAGAAAGCAACGTTTGGCAGTATGGGCTGTGGGCCGCGGGCCCGATCCGTCCTTCACTGCCATGGTGTTTTAGCCCTGGGGAGGGGTCCTGCAAGAGGACGCAGGCAAGTTCGGAGCAGTGCAGGAAGGCACGCAAATGGAAGGTTTGAAGCAAGTGTCTAGGCAGTTCAGAAAGCAACGTTTGGCAGTATGGGCTGCGGGCCGCGGGCCCGATCCGTCCTTCACTGCCATGGTGTTTTAGCCCTGCGGGGGGGTCCTTTTGACCGGAGCTGTGCAACACGCAAGCCAGCTGCAAGAGGACGGCAAGTTGGGAGCTGGCAGTGCAGAAGGGCAGGCAAAGTCAAGGTTTGGAACTGCAGAAGGGCAAGCAAAGTCAAGGTTTGGAGCTAGTTTCTAGGCAGTTCAGAAAGCAACGTTTGGCAGTATGGGCTGCGGGCCGCAGGCCGATCCGTCCTTCACTGCCATGGTGTTTTAGCCCTGCGGGCGGGTCCTGTGACCGGAGCTGTGCAGGACGCAAGCCAGCTGCAAGAGGACGCAGGCAAGTTCGCTGCCACGTGAAACCAAGGTGGATGTCACCAAGTGCCACGCCTGCCACGCAGTGCCGTGGCGTCACGCGCGACCAAGCGGGCCCAAGCGCGCCACCCAGTGCCATGAGCGCCACGCCTGCCACGCAAAGTGCTGCGCGACCAAGCGGGCCCAAGCGCGCCACCCAGCGCCATGAGTGCCCCGCCTGCCACGCAATGTTTTGCGTGGCAGGCGGGGCACTCATGGCGCTGGGTGGCGCGCTTGGGCCCGCTTGGTCGCGCAGCACTTTGCGTGGCAGGCGTGGCACTTGGTGACATCCACCTTGGTTTCACGTGGCAGGCGTGGCGCAATCTCAAATCCACCTTGGTTTCACGTGGCAGGCGTGGCCCAATCTCACATCCACTGTCGTTTTGCGTGGCAGGCGTGGCACTCATGGCGCTGGGTGGCGCGCTTGCACGTGACGCCGCGGCACTTTACGTGGCAGGCGTGGCACTTGGTGACATCCACCTTGGTTCCACGTGGCAGGCGTGGCGCAATCTCACATCCACTTTCGTTTTGCGTGGCAACGCAAAAAACGCTGGTATTTACGCGTTTTTCAAAAAATCGCAGATCGTGACGTGAACGAAACCCAATTAGCCACTTTCGGGGACTAAAACTGTGGTATTTACGCGGGTTCTTGCCATCTGACAGCGCAAAATGCTGTAAATTACAGCACTTTGTGCGCTGTTTATGTTCAATTTTTTAACCTGCGATGCTTTCACCTGTTCTTTGCCTTCTTCCACAAGAAACAATGTTGCAGATTGAAACTGGACGACAGCGTGACCCGAAAGAAAGCTGGAGGGAGGAGACGAGAAGATAGCACACAAGAAAATATGATGCTGAATGCTGCTGGTGCGGAGCTTTTACACACAGAAGCTTTTACGCGCAAAAGCTTTTACACACACACACAGCGTCTTTTACACAGAGATGTCTTTTCATAGAGCGGCTCTTAGACACAGAAGTTTTACACACACAGGCTTTTGCGCAGAGAAGTCTTTACACTAAGGAGATTTTGCACAGAAATGCGTTTACACAGAGGAGCTTTTACACATAGAAGCTTTTACACAGAGAAGTGCTGACACAAAGAGCTTTTACACACAGACGCGTTAGCACACAGAAGCGTTTACACAGAGAAAGCTATTGCTCAGAGGAGCTTTTACTCACAAGGGCGTTTACACACAGAAGCTGTTACACACAGACGCTGTTGCACAAAGAAGTCTTTACACAGAGAGCTTTAACACACAGGCGCGTTTACAGACAGAAACTTTTACACAAAGAAGTCTTTCAGAGAGAGCTTTTACACACACGTCGCCCGAAAGAAAGCTGGAGAGAGGGGACAGGAATGAGTGCTACTTTCACATTTTCTTGGCATTCTTCAAGCAGAATTTGCTTTACCGACTTCCAACGTTGCTGTCTTTTACACAGAGGCGTCTTTACATAGAGCGGCTCTTAGACACAGAAGTTTTACACACACAGGCTTTTACACAGAGAAATCTTTGCACTAACTGCTGGTGAGGAGCTTTTACACAGACGCGTTTACACACAGAAGCTTTTACGCACAGAAGCTTTTAAACAGAGAACTCTTTATACAGACTGGCTTGTGCACGCAGAAGCTTTTACACAGAGAGAAATCTTTACACAGAGGAGCCTTTACGCACAGAAGCTTTTACACAGAGAAGTCTTTATACTAAGGAGATTTTGCACACAAACGCGTTTACACAGAGGAGCTTTTACACACAGAAGCTTTTACACAGAGAAGTGATTATACACACAGACGCGTTTGCACACAGAAGCGTTTACACAGAGAAGCTATTGCTCAGAGGAGCTTTTACTCACAAGGGCGTTTACACAGAGCTGTTACATACAGACGCTGTTACACAAAGAAGTCTTTACACAGAGAGCTTTAACCCACAGGCGCGTTTACAGACAGAAACTTTTACGCAAAGAAGCCTTTAGACAGAGAGCTTTTACACACGGAAGCTTTCACACACAGAAGTTTTTACACAGACAAGTCTTTACACAGAGAAGCTTTTACACGCAGAAGCTTTTTCACACAGAAGTTTTTACACATCCATGAATATGTTCACAAAAGCATAAGGAATATATGTCGGAAGCAGCAGGTCCTCATTCAATAGCTGTCAAGCCCACCCTGCGATGACATCGAGGGTCAAGTAATCCGGCGGAGCCGACGATGAGCGTCAGCTCTAAAATCCGGCCAGGGGCCCGCCGGGCCCGGAGCTGGCCGTGGCATTGCCGTAGGCCTTCTCTCCTCTCCGAAGGAGAGAGGGGCCGCCGCCCCTGCTGCCGACCACCCCCCCATCAAAAAGTCCCGTGTTTTTTGCTGTTTCCGTGTTTTCCCATTTTTGGGATCATGTGGCGCGAGATGGGCCAACAGGGGCCAACATAGGCCGCAAGATGGGCCAACATAGCCCCAAGATGGGCCAACCTAGCCCTAAGATGGGTCCAAGCTAGGCCAACATGGCCCCAAGATGGGCCAACATAGGCCAACCTAGCCCCAAGATGGGCCCATATAGCCCCAAGCCGTTCACCCCTATCACCTCAACATGTCCGGCCAGGGGCCCGCTGGGGCGAGTGGTGGCCGTGTCCTTGCCGGAGGCCTTCTCTCCTCTCCGAAGGAGAGAGGGGCTGCGCCCCCTGCCGCCGAACACCGGGGGGAACCCCATGTCGCCAAAAACTCTCGCGTTTTACAGTGTTTTTTGCTGTTCGCAATTTTTCCAATTTTTTGTGGCTGAAGATGGGTCAAAATGGGCCAACATAGGCTGCAAGATGGGCCAACATAGCCCCAAGATGGGCCAACCTAGCCCTAAGATGGGTCCAAGATGGGCCAACATAGCCCCAAGATGGGCCAACATAGGCCAACATAGCCCCAAGATGGGCCCATATAGCCCCAAGATGGGCCCATATAGCCCCAAGCCGTTCACAACAAACCACGAACCACAAACCAGAAACCCCAAACCACAAACCACAAACCACACACAACAACCAGAACAACAACAACACCGACAACCACAACAACCACAACAGCTCGACCCCTATCACCTCAACATGGGCCCCTGGCCGGCTGTCGTGCGTAAGTGCTTAAATATAGAGAATTATATAGATTTATAGCATTTATGTGTTTAAGTATTACTATTTTTATTCTTTCGATGTCTGGCTTCTCTCCAGTGTCCTTCCGGCGATCATCTTCTGCTTCGGGTCCATCATCGCCATCACTGTCACCTGCACCATTTCCATCATAGTTCCATCACATTTCCATTGATTTTCTCTGTTTGACACTCTTTTGTTTCACACTCTGTGTGCTTTTCTTCTTTGTCTCCTTTTCTTTTCTTCCCCTCTCGCTCTTTGCCCATCTATCTTCAAATCTTCTCTGGGTTCAGGACTGAAGAAATTTGAAAGGTTTGCTTCAGATTAAGACTGCAAAGACAAAACAGTGTGTTCTCACAAGGAAAAACAGACATGATTTCAATGATGGATCTCATATCTTGTCGACCCTTCCACACTGTGAACTGCTGATCGGCACAGGGTATCATTTACATTGCTTTACATTGCTTTACACTGTTTCAAATGCGTTTCTGTAATCGAAAGTTGCACCTCCATCATCACTGTCTTTCAGTTTGGCCATGTCTGGCACTACTTCGCCATACGTCAAGGCAAGACCTGATGTTTTGACATGTTTTGATATGTTTTGATCCAACATGAAACAGACTGAGTACGGCATGAATTCACCAAAGCGGTTTTGTCGTGTCTTGTCGTTTGTACAAACCGACATGTCCGACATGTCGTGTCTTGGTGTGTCGTTCACGTGTCGTTCGTGTGTCGTTGATAAGCTTGGGGCTCTCCAGCACAGACTGCGGCGTGATCTCCAGAAGTCGTTCCATTTGAAACCAAGGCCGCTTTGCCAAGACCTGTCACTGCGAGAGCAAGACATACCGAGACATACCGAGACTAAGTCGACCAAGTCTAAGAGTGTCCCCTGCCCCATGACGGCAGACATTACGACATGAATGAAGCTTGTGTAAGAAAGTGTTGGGAATAATCTGAAAAACAATTGGAAGAGAAAAATGTGACGTGCTCATACATGCTCAGCATGCGCAGGCTGATCAGCTGATATCAAGAAGGCTGACATGTTTGTGATATGTCGTACATTTCTTGCAACATGATATGAGCGTGCTGATTTGTTGCGGCGAAGCGACGTTGGGGCAAGAGATGTCGAGCAGCAGATTAAGATCGCATGGACTCAGCGCACACTCTACGTAGAAAAACAGAAAAAGCAATCAAAAAAAGGCACAGACCGAGAGAACCGA